CTTTCCATCTCTTTCTGTCTCTCTGTCTCTCTGTCTCTCTGTCTCTCTGTCTCTCTGTCTCGCTGTCTCTCTCTCTCTCTTTCTCTCTCTCTCTCTCTCTCTCTCTCTCTCTCCCTCCCCTGCATCACCACACGTCAATGACCCCAGCACAAGCCCACAGCCCCACAGCAAGCCATCAGCCATCCGGTCAACCAGGAGCTGCTTGCTGGCACCCGGAAGTTTAAAGCATCTCAGTAGACCTGCTGCCGAGGTTTCCTTATGGCACGGGACCAGCCCACAGAATGCCTTCTCGATTGCCAGGACGGTTCCTTGCTGAAGCCCCGAAGATAAGCCGGCATTGTCGCGAAAAGAGCCAAGCGCAGCTTGATGTCAAGCTGATGTCGGCCTTCTGGTCCGAAAGCCTAAATTTTGTGAAGCAATGGTTGGCTCAAGCGATGTAGGCCTTGTGATCGAAAGGCCATCATGAACTCTTCTCCATGCGGGCGTCCTTCATGATGAGCTGCAATCCTACAGTAGGAACTGTGAAGGTAAGCCCAGCGGAAGCTAAGAACAACCCCCGGAGCCCCTTCGCAGGACGGGCTTCAAAAGTCGTCCCCATGCTCGGGGGCGGCTGTCACTTGGTCCATGAAGCCCGGAACCTGTGGAAGGTTTAGGGCTAGGGTTGCGCGACGGCTTTCGTTCACAATGCAGGGTTCAAGGAGCAGGTAGTGAGGTTCGGCTTGTATGTCAAGGTGGGAAAGGGCAGTGTCAGTTTGACGAGGGTTTTGAAGGTTTCGGGGGCTCTCGACGGTTTGGGCCAAGTGCTTAACCCGAACTACAGAGATTCACCCATTGGGATTGTGTGACTCGAATGATCATGCACTTGCGGTGCTAGAACCTTCGAGTTTTTGTGGCTTTGTTGAGGGCAGGGGGCGGATGTGGAGGCAACCCAACAAAGGCTCAAACAAACTTCGCGAATTCAACTCAAAATGTTCTGATTCCAGAACCCCCAAAGCGCACATAGTGCACAGTCCCAAAACCCTCACCACCGAAACCCATACATACTATGTACATATATATATATAGATACATATAGATAGATAGATAGATAGATAGATAAATATGTAATCTCCAAAGGAATCTCGAAGCCCGACAAAGTTTCCATAAGGTACGGCGCCGGCACCTACTTCGCTGAGTGCAGCTCCAAGTCAGACGAGTACGCCCGGGATGATGCCGAAGGCATCCACCAAGGCGCTATTGTGGCTCTTTGAGTTTAGGAGTTTAGGTTCCGGGTGCCTCTAGGGTCGGGGGGCTGTAGGACTCTTCGGTTTAAGGACTAGGTGAGAGCTTTGGAGTGTTGTCGGGGTTAATAAATTTTTGAACAAGCATAAGTATGTGTAGGTATGTATGTATGGATAGCTAGATAGATACTTCTTGCGAGCAGGAGCCTTTTTGGTTATCAGGTTTTTCTTCCGTAGCCTGGGCTTCGGAACTGCGTCGTCTGCTCGGCAGCCAGATCACCAGTACCTGCCCGGGAAAATCTGAGTAATCGTGTTGTCCTTGAGTGCTCCCTCGGCTGTCTGATGGCTTCATTCTCGTCTATGCAAGGTATAAGAAATGAGAAACGGTCAGCGAAGCAACAGAACTCAGGCAGGTGTCCTTCTTCTTCTTCTTTCTAGCCCTGACGAGGTCTCTACTGCTTGCTGCTCTGCAGGGTCCTGCTTGGGGAGCCCCTGCATTTGACTGCCGGGGGCGATCAAGTCGGCCCGCTCGTCCGTGCAGCGCTGGATTCGGATTTGCTCTTGGGCAAGAAGCTTCCTGCTCTTTCGGGGTGTTTATCGAGTTTTGGTAGATGGGGCAGGGGGTGGTGCTTTAGTTATCGTTCCATGAGTGCAAAGTGTTATTATCGGCACTGACTCGAAGAAGAAACCGCAGCTCTGAATCGTATCTCCGACCTTCTCAGGTACGACTCGGTACTTGGAGACCGCCGCGCTTCCGTTGGCACCTACCGTGAGTTCATTGTCTACGACGACTACATGGCTTATCCTGAATACATAGTTGTTTACACCCGGCAGCCAACATAGGAACCCGACGCCCCAAGCCGTACACGATAAATCTTGGACCCTATACTAATGCAGCATAACTCCTGGAGCTTCTGCACAATAAGCCCTCATCCCGACATGAAGCGAGTCACAATCTCCAGAAGAATCCTGGGAGCCCTGATAGAAACAGAGTCGCTCGCTTTCAATTCACCCTATATGTAGTCCCCACAGCCCTAGTCGCAACTTTAGACGGCTGCCACCGTAGCACCCTCCAAATCCCTAATTATGAGCCTCGTGTGATGTTAGATAGATGGGGAGGGCAGGTAGATAGATGATAGGACAGATAGATAGATAGATAGATAGATATAAAGACAAAAAATGGCATAGAGTTCTTATCTTCCTAGTGCATATAAACAAGCGCACCCTTCCTGTTTGTTGGCCGCCGTAGCTAGGCCCTCCACCTTTAAGGGTGCTTCTCTCTTGGGCCCCGGGCCGCCCCAAGTGGCAAAGCCAAACGGGGGGCTGCGGTACTGGGCCCGAGGAGAGACCTTCATCCGCAGACTCCTTAGAAGGCTTTCGGTTTCGGGTTCTTTAAACTCTCAAAGCGATCTCGAATAAACAGAACCGCTACGGGGATTTACAACAGATTGGGATCCCCAAACTGCTATCCAACAATATGATGCAATAAGATGGTGTCTTCAAGAGCTCTACCTGTGAGGGGTCTGGGTTTGCCAAGAATCGATCAACGTTGTGCAATTCTCGATCGGTTTTTACTTGAAACATCGGAGGGATTTTCCGCAAGTTGCTGCGCCACTCCTGCCAGACAATGCTCGTCTGGCCAGGATGTGGCCTAGGCGCTTAGACAAGTATGCAGGTGCCCTGCATTGCAAATAGAAGCCGCCACCACCATTGCCACCACGTGTGTCTTCCGGGATTCTGGGAGCGGGCTTGGGGATCCTTGCGCAGTGAGTTAGGGGAGAGGTGTAGAGGGTGACGCATTGGATAGACAGGTCAATGTTGCTTAATCCTGCGTTTAACACAGTACCTTGTACGAGTTCGTACTTTTTGGAAGGATGCCAGATGTCTAGCCAAAGGCAACGCCGCCCCCGCCCTGCAAGTGCCACGGCATGCTGTGGCTCTTATGGGGCCTTGAGCTTTGGTTCCTACCCAGGCATCACCTCTAGACTCTAGAAGCCCGTTTTTCAGCTTGCCTCAGGGTTGGCCGGACCCTTAACAGCCTTAACACTTTTCCGCTGCAGACCATCCAGCCATGACTTACTCCAAGTCGAAACGAGAACCTCCAGACCCGAAACCGTCGTAGACCCTACTACCCAGAAGCGGCTTTCGAGCTGGCTATGTTTGACCAATCAATGTGTCAATGAATGGTATATAAACTTCCGACACAGGATTTCCGGCCTACCAATTCCAAGTCCAGTCCCGACATTGCTGCTTAAGCTACTACATCCTATTTCTGAACTTGCTGCGATGTCGCCGTTTGCTGGCTGCTGCCCCACAGCACTCACGTCGTGCTGCTGCCTCAAGACCTACGAACGCAGCTCGTGCTTCAATTTCACCTTCAATGGTAACCAAGGCATTCATCGTGACCAGAATCCTAAATTTCAGTTGCATCAAGATGAGAGGCACCCCAAGGAGTTTCCAAGCTCGATTGTTAATCTTCCACCAAAAAGCTTCCCAGGCTCTCCTCAGTTCCTGCAGCCTCTGAGCACTCCCTATCAGTCGCCAATGCCCAAAACTCCTTGTTGGTTCCTAGAACTTCAAAGCCCCAGAGCTTCAGCTTTCTGGGCCACAGTACGGCCTGCGCCTACAAGGAGATGCGGCGATCCTACAGATCCTTTCCGAAAGCACGGATCCCGACGGCCCTTCCTTGTTCGGACTGCCGCTTTCGGGTGGGACTTTGGGAAGTCATCGGTTCACGGCATACCGAAACCCAGCCCTAAACCTGCTTGCCGAGTCCGAGTAATTAGAGTCCGAAATGCTTGCGGTAAAATCACGCGAAAACCCGCATGTGCGACCTTACAACTTCGTCAGCCTAGACTGCGCAGCTTGCAGGACGCCTGTGCTGGTGCCAGACTGCTCCGATTCCAAGGCTGGTGGTCTGAGACACCTGCAAAGACGGAAAGCTTGATGCAGAAAGCTTGGCAGAGGTGCTTCTAAATGTCGTGACGTGAACCCAGCTACCACAACGTCAGAGGCAGAGTCGTAAGCCCAGCTCAAGAGCAGAAAAGCACAGAACTCGCTTCCCTCACCCACCCGACCGAAGAGGCCGTCCGCGGGGCTGGAGGACATTGAAGCGATCCGCACCTCGGAGATGGAGAGAATAGGGTTGAGGGGGTAGGACTTTGAGATTTAGGTTGAAGGGGTTACGACATAGGACTTAGGACGTAGAGTTTATAGGGTTGACGAAGAGGATCGGCATGATGATAGTCCCAGGCCCCTTTCTGTGAGCACCTCCCTTGCCGTGGCGCAAATGGTCGTGTTGAGCCAGATTAAACTTCCAATCTACTTCAAGAGACGGCATGAAGGGAGGAGGAGGCGGGGGAGGGGTGCCGCTGGAGCCCGCTGAGGACTGGGTCAGTGCAAAGGGAGACGATGCGTGGGACTCCTGGGCTTCCAGTTTCTAGCAAAGTCACAGGAGAAACTAAACAAAAACCCTCGAACCTTAGACAGTATTTCTACTTGCAGCCCTGCAGAATAGAAGTTTATGGTTCCTGGATTGTAGGTGGTTGTAACCTGAAAGTAGCAGGCAATCGGAGCTGCAGGTGCCTCAACAAAATGCAGTTGCTGCCTTGAAGCAACGCAACCACGTTTTCCAACGCAGGTTTATGTCTCACTAGGTCTCCAGTTCTTAGAAGCATGGAGAGAGCCAGCCGCATTGGCTTTTCGATTGCCCCTAGTACTCAGTCAGGTATAGGTCTAAATCAGTAGTCCTAAACCGCGAAAGCCGTCTGCCTGCGCTGTTGGTCCATGGCAGGCAACCTGGCCGGTGTGACCCTGCAATCCGGGTCGCATCTGATGCTGGGCTACGAAATTAGACCCTGAATCCCATGTACCTTGACACACGATTGATAGGTATGTTTCTTCTTCTAAGACACTGAAAGGGCGCTCTTGCAGACTCTGACCCTAACCCTCAAGCGCGAATCGTATCCGTGTGCTCTAGGCCAGCAAGCGGCAAGGCAGCTACGGCAGGGTTTCTAGAATATAGAACAGTATTGAAGAGCCTGAAATTGACCGTGCCAGCAAGGACAGCAGGATCTCTGAAAACACTCCGGTGGAGCCAGTTTGATGCTGCTGGCCTGCAGAAAGCTAGTCATACGGCTTGAACTGGGGCGCGATGCCCGTAACCCTAAGCCCTTAAACCCTGAAGCCCTAAACCCAAATCTTCAAGGCACCAAAAACCCCAACTTGGCTCCTTCCTAGTTCGATGCCGGTCCTTCGGGTTCTTATTGGTGTTAGAATCAGGAAGTTCAATGATTTTGTGGCTGTCTCCATGGTAAGGTTCAGGGTCAAGAGTTAGGGGGCTCAGGACCAACTAGATGTCGGGTTGCTGCTGTCCGTCAGATGGCTTGGCCGTTCGGATTTTGGTGTTATGTTCATTCGGCCATTCGGCTCGCAAGTGCTGCCGATGAACTCAGGGAATGGAGTGGACCATGTTACAATGAAGTTGCGCCGTCTTCCCTGAGTATGCTCCGCACTCCCGGTATTGAACCTGCGGCCACTCGAAAGGCTTATTCTCCACTCAACCTGGAACATTAGTTAAGCCCTGAATCCATTCAACTCTGCACTCACAGACTCCCAAATGCTTCAGTCGCACTGAGGCCGAGACGCGGATTTTGGCCACGAATGGTTTTGGTGGGTGGACTCTTGCCGTGACTCCTAGGCATACACCTGCGAAGACTATCCGGGGAGATGGCTTCGATTTCGCGTATTTGCAGGTTGTGCCCTTAACTGTTCGCACTAGACCACCCCTGCGCACAGCATTAAGGTATATTGAATAAAGCGTTTGCGGATTTCGCTTGGTTTTGTGCTTCTAAAGTTCTCCAGCACATCCGGCCTTTGCGCCGCAAGTCGCAACTCCTGCTTGAAGTCCTTGCCACACAGTCAGCATGAATTGTTGAAGCTCCTGTAATTTGTGCTAACATTCTGCTGTTTGCTGTCTCAGAGCCGTCGCCGACTTGGACAGTTAGCAGCCCTTGCTTGTATTCTGTGTATCTTGCAAAGCTCTCTAATGATTCAATGCCACACCTCCATCAGGTCTTAGCCACACGTCCGCAAAACACCGACCATGCGTCATTCATACGGGCCGCTCAGCCCGGAGCACGTGAACTTCCGCTCTTTGCTGGTGGTTTTCTCTGCTCTGAGGAAGCAGCCTTGGAACACTGGAGTATGGACCGAGCCCGCCGGAGATCCCCTCTGGTGCTTCCTGCAGCTTGGCTTCCGGGGTCCGATTCGAATGGAGGGTGGCTGTGCATTAGCACTCATTATACTATATCAGATAAGATTATGTGTTATCATGTTCTATATTAAGAGTTCAGACTTACCATGGTCAACTGGGAGTCTATGGGCTCCGAGGCTTGGTGCAGTAGCGGTTTCGGGCGCCAGCGAGCAGCTGCGCAATGCTGCCGTTTCACCCGTTTCGCAGTTCCTGTGAGGGCGATCTGAAGATGCGATCGCCCTTGCATCCAGGTTTGGAAGTGCTGTGAACTGGGGAACATCTACAGAGTAATTACCGTGAGTGTCATGCTTCAGCCGGTGAAGCATCCCGCCACTGCAGCCTCGCGCACTGATGTCTTGAGCTCACATAAAATTCTCTAGACGATGGTAGGATGACAGTATTCCCTGCATGGCTTTGGAAATGGGAGTTGCAAACCTAGACCCCATCGAAAGGAGGCCCCCCACTTGTGCTTTCGGACTCCGAAGCTTCCAACCAGGCTCTTCCTGGCCCGTGTTGCCAACTTCACCTACGAGTTGCTCTGCAGCTGGGAGGGTAGAAGAACAGTAACTAAAGCCAAAGCCCCCCGACG